GCAGACTCACGTCACAGAGTGTAAGGATGCTGAAAGAGGCCAAAAACCACTGGACTGGTCATCATGCAGGTACCGCAGAGCCGTCCCGTCACACAGCAGCTGGTTCCGTTACTGTAGCTGTAACTCACCTGCCTCCGTCTCACCTTTCCCGTGTACCTGCCCACTAACACGGACACACTCTCATTTCAAACTTTTATTCAACCCGCTGCTGGTTTTCTCCAAACCCCCTGGAGAGCAGCACCGCCTCCTCTCGCTCTTTCGCGAGTACTCAGATTACCGTTTTGCGTTACTTTTTGCGATTAACGTTAATTCCAGCTAACGCCAACTGAGGCGGTGGACCGGAGATTTTACACACCGACTTTTACGACCTGCTAAGGCGGCACTGAGCCGCTCATGTCGGCCTGATAAAGCAGCTCACGCAGTTAAAAGTGACGGTTTGTTTATCTCCCCACGGCGGCCCACGCCCTTTGACACGGTGACGTTAGCAGCTCCGAGCTAGCAGCTAGCGATGATTAGCCGGGGAGGCTTGAGCGCTGGGCGGGAGTTTATCCCACTTTAACGGGGTAAATGTGTCCAGAACGAGGGCGGCAGGGGCGGGAAACTGACCCCGGGCTCGAAGTCCCCCACCCGGGCGTGTTCCCTGAGGTCCCCGCGGTACAGAGGCTAGCCGTGCCTAGCTGCGGGGTGAAGGAGACAAACTCACAGTTCCTGATGTCGGAGATGAACACGGCCAGTCCGCGCATCCCGTCCCCTTTAGACACCGCCGGCATCCTCTCCGCTGCTGGGGGGCTTCAGCTGACCCGGACAACCCGCTGCTCGAACTCTGAACTCTGTCTGTGGAACCGCGAACCGCCGCTGCGAGCACCAGGAGCCCCGACATATGACCGAGAACCAGACGGGCCGCGTCCCCTTCAGCGCGGAAACGCCCTGTTCCAGCCTCCTCAGGCGGGCCGCGTCCCAAACATGTTCGCTTTACCCACTCGACTGAGTGAACGCACCCGGCCCAGAACATCTGGAGCATGAGCACCGAGGACGGGAGAGCTCCCAGATGTTTGGGAGACTGCTGTCTTCACACTCAAAATCTTTTTTATTAAAACTTTTATTCATTTTTTCAGTTTACACATTTGATATGTTGTGACTTGCATTCTGTTTTTATGTACTTTTATAAACGCCCCAACTTTTTGTAATTGACGTTATGACATCAAGACAAACAGCTGGGTTATAAGGCAGAGAGTCATCTTTTGATGAATTTCTGA